TAATTTCGGTAATTTTTCCTTAATATAGTAAAAAAATAAAACCCCCAGTGGTGAATAAATACCACCAAAAGAAAGCTCTATCTGTCCCCAAAAAAGGGTATAAAATTCATTTCAGTACAGCGCTGCATGACGGAATAAATGTCAGTTAAAGTACCGCAGCGCTGAATACTGAAAAATGGCCTGGATGGGAAGGGGGTTTAACACCGCGGATGTCAACTGGTTGAGCTATTCTCCATTCTTATATATCTTTTTGTATATTAAATGTGTTAAATTTTTTTAAGAAGTCCGCATATATTTAAATATGGAGGGTACCACATTTTTACTGATATTCAGTCATCTGTATCATTTGGAACACAAGTCAACAAGATGTTTTTACATATAGGAACACAGACTAGAATAAAAACCTGACAGGGGTTCTACTCCCCACTTTGACCAAAACAGTTTAGCCTTGATTTGGGATTTAGGCATTTTAAGAAGTGCACAGTGGACCCTTCTGAAGCATGAGAAAACATTAAACTGTTCAGAAAGTTCATGATTTCATTAGGTTTGATTTCCTTTTAAATATATAAAATATGTATTAACATAATAATAACCTAATTTGAAATAATAACCTTAATTTGTGGCAGCCTTCTTCTGCATGGTTTTGTTTTGTCTTAAGTTCAATCTTGCTGTGTTCGTGGATCAACGTGGCAGAGTTTCTCAGAGCTAATGTTACAGAATTGAAATTCTCATTCCCACCCTGTTGAGCAATGTTTTGTGAACCCAACTTCTGAGAATCCATGTTCACAATAGTTGGATGCAGGCAATAGCTTTAGCAGGATGACTTTTTTTTTTCCAATTGCGAACATGATGTTAGTAAATTGAGACGTTACAAAAGTTCATAAAATCTGGAAGCTATAGATGTACATGTGACGTAAATGGAAAGCAGATGGAGACACAATGAAAACAATCCCGGTCTCTCTCTTTACATTCAATTGTTTGCGTCTGCTAGGCATGGTTTACCTGGCATTGTGAACCCTTTTATGCATTTTGTCAGACTGACAAAATGTTGGGATATCTGATGCTTCAGACGTTTTAAGTGTAAATATTACAACGTTGTGATATTTAATATTTACTTTTAATTATTTTGATCTCTTTTGTATTTTAAGGTATAAAAAATCCAGTGTTGGCAGCAAACAAGTTGCTGTTTGAAGGACAGAAAGGAAAACTCTCAGCTGGCAGGATCCCACCTTGGTAATTATATTTACTAAGAACTTTTTTAGAGCTTATAGGCATTTCAGGTAGCCACATAACATGGGGACGGCTTCCCTCGTAATCGGGAAGCCGGGTGGCGAGTCTTTACACGCCACCTGGCTTCCTAAATGGGACTTCCAGTATTCGGTATCGGCGAGTACCAGGAAAAAATATCGTTACTCGATACCGAAATACCGGCATCGGTGCATCCCTAATAATTACACATGTTAAAGTGTTTTGTTTGTGGTTTTTTGTTTTTTGTTTTTTTTGTTTATTTTGTTGTTGTTATATGTCAAATAAATATAAAAATTCTTGCTTACTGCTTCTTTTTTGATTTTCTATCTAAACGCCTACTTTTATATTGCCAAACCTTGTTTAAAAAATACACCAAAAAAATAACAGAGATTTATTTTTTCCTTTTTATCTTTTTGCAATTTTTATATTTTTTCAAGGTTGCTGCAAGTTTCTTTTAGTAAAATTCAAGACATGGTACATGTTTCCGGGTTAATACAAAACACAGAAATTTCCCAGCACACTTACCAGCTATCCTGCAACAAAACAAATTTGCCCTGTCTAAAAACAGAGGTCTTTTTTTTTAACACGTACTGTTAGATAGGGCAATTTTTTTTGGTTTTGTTAGCACCTAGACACACATGGGGAGTTAATCCTTGCAGTGCGGGGGTAGCCCCACTGCAGGGCTTAAAAGGTTTTCCTTGGAGTAATTCTTTAATACAAAAAGTAATTTCTACAGTATTACAACCATGTAATACTGTAATACATGTAATACTGCAACCATGCCCTCCTTCTTCATTTGTCACAGACGTCTAGGGCTGCAGCTAACGATTATTTTCATAATCGATTAGTTGGCCGATTATTAAGTTCGATTAATCGGTTAATCGGATAAAAAAAAAAAAGGCTCCAGTGATTGACGACTAGTTTGTGTTAAGATTGTAGTCCATCACGGGAGCAAGCTTGGCGTGGTACTGTTGCAGCTCTACAGACGTCTTTAAACTTGCACTGGAAAACAGTTTTATAGGGTGTGTGTATCATATATTATCATACAACATTTCTGTTAGAGTTGTTGGTTTCCAGTTGGATAAAAGGAGGAGTGTTCTGTATTATTACATACATCTGCAGTTTGTGGTTTTGTAGTAAAATAAGCTGCTTTGTACATCCTGGAAACATCTTGATGTGAGAACTGCTGATTGACTATTCTCTAGCTGTTTACATGGATATTTCTGACATTACTTAATTTAATTTGTCTGTTCAGCTTTAGGCAACAAGAGACTGGAGGTCCAGCTAGAAAACAAATGATGCTGTTTTAGGAGAGCTCCTCTGTGTGTTGTTTAGCAGCATTTGGCAATCACTGATGTTTTTCCTTTTGTAGCGGTGAACAGGGATTTCTTCAAACAGATGACTTTAGTGTTTAGGGATAGCATGCACTGACACTGAAAATATTAGGCTATTAATCCTCTAGTGAACCGACATTTCTTTCTGGATATGTAAGTTTAGTCTTAAATTGTTTCGTCAGGTTTTTTTTTTTTCCTTTTCCTGGTTCTGACAGCACTCGACCACTAATATAATGTTAAAATACCTTTTAACTTTGATCTAGAGTGCAATCAAAAGACAAAGTATTGGAAGGTACACGCTATCATTTCATTGCCTCTGATCTGTTGCCCAGTTCCTAAGAACTGCTAAAAAAAACACTTAAGTGAATAATGTATTTGCAATCAGGAGAATGTTCTGAGAAGTTGTCCATTGGTTAGTAAGGAGAATTTTATTAACCTTTTTGGAGAAATAAAAGCATCATTGTAGACTGTCTTTTGTGATTTAAAGCTGCGCGCTAGCCAGTGAAAACAAGGCTCATTTGGCTTTTCAGAAAAAAAGTTTGATATTTAATATCTGTATAATGGACCAAGAGTGTGCAGGTTCCAAAACAAAACGAACACAATTTACACATGCTCATGTTCCCACCATTCTAGAAGTCCAACTTTATGAATAATGGATCATCTGGTTACAGATGAAACGTGACTATTCTCAAAGTAAATATTTTCTGCGTTTTCATGTATCTTTCAGCATTTCTGTTACACTGCAAAGTTTAGTGGCCTATCACCTGGAAGAACATCAAGGATTCCGGCTCTTGTCTTGTTCTAATACTTGAATAAAGAATAACTCCAGGCAATAAATAAAGTCAGTTTGAGACTTCATAGTGGTAGAGGTCTTTTACTTTATTCTAGGCTTTGTGAAATATTGCACTGGTACATTCAATGAGCTTCTCATTTGATTTTTGTGCAAAATGTAATTATAAATCCATCTTGTAGAATCTCTAAATTGCAATGTGTTTAGAGAGAGGGGGGTGCTTGAAGCAGTGATCAGAAACTGGTCTGTTAAAGGTCCTTATAGAAAAAGAGGATATTGACAACTGTAATATGTGGGCTAATAGGGTAGCCGGGTGCACAAGATAAATGCAAAATGTCACATATGACCAAAGTGTATTTTTTGAAGTCCAAAGAAAAAGATTACAGGTGCTTGTGGATTTCAAACCAGTTTGGAAAAGATAAGCTGGGGCCGCATGTTGTAATCAAACTGCAATTTCAGATTAAAGTGACATTAAACCCTCAGATTTTTTAACATAAACCAATACTGTAATGTGTGCCTTACTGTAATCCATTGTTGTTTCCCTTCTCTTTGCTGCTCTTCCTTTTTAAATCCTCATGTCTTCTCATGCTTGGGGAGAACTTCCCTTTGCAGCTCAGGGCCTCTTCCTGTAGTGCTGGCTCAGGTTACAAACCTATACACAGACACCATATATCTATTCTTGAGACAAGTCAGTCTGCTTCAAAACAGAAGTTCTGCCCAGCATGAGAACAGATACAGATTTAAAAGGAAGAGCAGCAAAGAGAAGGGAAACAACCATGGATTACAGTAAGTCACACATTACAGTATTGTTTAATATTAAAAAATCTGAGGGTTTAATGTCACTTTAATATCCTTTAGGTACACAAGTGCAAAAGCCCACCTAAACAGTGCATTCAGTTAGGTGGACCTTGCAATACACAGTTTATGGGAATTCTAAAAAAAATAGTACCATCAAATTCTAACCCGTGGCCATCTTTAATGTACATGGTGTGGTAGTTTGGGGAATATAGCCCACTGGTGAGCGTTAAGTGACCACCCCTGAAGCCGACTTTAACATAAAAACGACAGTCTTCATTCAGTCAAAAGGTCAACAATCCATGATAAATGAAAAAGAACAGTTCTTTAGACTTTCATCAAAACATTATGATTTGGTCTCATCGACATCTGGCTGTCCCATACACTCCCAGTGTGATAATCCCAGGACTTTACCATATTTCTCTGTCAATACAGTCCTCAGCAGCTTTCCTCAGCTCCAAGCGGTTCAGTATTCACCCCTTATGGGTCACTGTCGCTCTCTGTCTCTCCGACGGGTATCTCAGGGTCACCAACCCTCTTGACCTCTCCCAGCCTTCCTGACTGTGTCACCTGTGCTTGCGCACACGGCAGAGTCTGTCTGTGACCATGTGCCTCCTGCACACCCACAACTCCCCTCTGAGCTGGCTTCCTAATGAGGCTGCTCTCAGCCGCCTGATCAGCCCAGGCTGGTCATTGGCAACACCTGGCCACAGGACTGGAGATTTCATCCCACCCAGAGCTCTAAGAAATCTCCAGATCCCAGCTACAATTAGGAAAACCTGGAAGAATCTGAAAAGCCAGGCTCTTCCTTATAAAATGGTTCACATTCTGGCCCCTCTGGCTGAGAGTCCTGGGTGCCAAAGTTGCCATACTACGCCGTGGCATTGCCATGCACTGCCACAGTTGGCATTTGTATTTTTTTGTATGACATGGGTTTTTTCAAAAACACTTCAGAAGGATTTGGAATGCAGTATTTTTAGTTTTTGATTTGGATCTTATGAAGCCTTCTTCTCTTGTTTTTATTGCTGCATGTGCTTTGCTTAAAGGTTTAATGTAAAATGTCCCATTTAACTGCATCAGAATTTTTTTCCCCTCCACCATACAAGGCAATGTAAATAAAAGCACCTCAAACAAAAACCACATTTCCCTCAAATCGTACAAAGCAGGCATGGTGCACTAACCCCAACTTTGACACTCTTCAGCATGTTCTGACTTCCTCTGGTAGCAATTTGGGCCGACAGCCACACTCTCTTCCACTTATTTTCTTATAAAAAGTGTTAGTTATTTTTAAAGCAAAGCCACTGACCCTCAGACGAGTCAGTGACATGTTCCACCAAGGACCACCAATGTTTTCTCCAGGCAACCATGACTCTCCTATCACTATTAAAGTTGGACAGCTGAAAGATTTGCCATATATTCTCTATACATTTCTAATTATAAGTTTCGTCTTGGAAATTAAAATATGAACACATGTATTTTACAAATAATAGCGCCATAGACAGGTCTGGGTCACACAGCCACTCAGAAATGCAGAGGGGGGGGGGGGGGG